ACTCCCCAATCGGCCCTGCTCTGAGCCCGACCAGGGGCTGCACCTAGGGATTGGGCCTGCCCTCTGCCACTCGGGAGCAGGCCTAAGCCAGCAGGTCGTTATCTCCTGAGGGGTCCCAGACTGCAAGAGGGCACAGGCCGGGCTGAGGGACCCCCCTCGCCCCCAAGTGCACAAATTTTTGTGCACCAGGCCTCTAGTTTATATTATAATAGACAAGGAAGATATAGCAATTCTGTTTTGTTCATATATTAGCCCTGCAAAAAAGTTGTTCAACTGACATACATATGTATCTACTCAAGTGACAAAGTGACAAACTGTCACAATTTGCCTGGAGCTGAAGGGTTTCTTGGGACATGCAACTTTCAGTACTAAAGCTGGGACAATCCTAGGCAAACAGGACTGTTGGTCACCCTAGTACACACATAGTATATTTTATTCTTCACACATATACAACATATTATAGGTTTCTTCCTAATAACTTGAATCATCTTGCACAATTATTTTACTATGCCATAATATGACGATACCCATAGCAACCATTTTGATGAATGAATGTGCTAAACTAAGCCAGCATACTAATTTTTTTAAATATTTTATCTCAGTTTTACACATTTCTTGCTGTCACCATGTATTTTTAAACCCTTTAAGTGCTATCAGTAAAAAAAAATTTAAAAAGTCAGATAGCCTACCAACTTTCTGAGCATTTGTAAAATGCATTTTCTAAGTATAGTCTATAGTTTAAAAAAAATTTTTTTTTAAATTTTATTTTTTATTACAAAGGGTATTACATATGTGTCCATTTTTTCCCTGCCCTAGACAGTCCCCTAGCCTCCCCTATTCCCTAAAAAAATTTTTTTAAATTATAGTTGACATACAATATGATATTAGTTTCAGGTATACAACATAGTAATTAGACATTTATATACCTTGTGAAGAGATCACATTAAGACCAGTACCCTTCTGGGACCATACTTAGTTATTAAAATACTATTGACTATACTCCCTAAGCTGTACATTATATCCCTGTGACTAATTTTATAACTGGCAGTTCATAAGACTTTTTAATACCTTTCACTTTCTTGTTCATCCCCCGACCCCCACCCCCACCCCC